GTAAAAAAAAAGGATTGATTCATCTCTCCCTCCACACACACACCCCATAGACAGTTAAGTCTGGGGTGGAACTTTGTAATCATCTGCCTCAAGTTTTGTTAAAATAAATTAAATTATTTATTATTGTTATTTTGCTTGTCCAGCCGGGCGAGGGGAAGTATTTTTGTTTCCAGGTTCAAGGGGCCATTGAGTTGCTGCTTATTTATGCAGATTTTCCTAGCCGCCCCCCCTTTTCTCAGCCACTTGTACTTGTGATTTAGATCATTGTATTTCCCCCTCCTAACTAGGTATTAATGAGATCATTTATGTGGATGCAAGACTTCCTCATTCATTTACATCACCTGGCACCCTCAGAAAACGACTGAACCCAGAAATGTCACTCGGTAATGGTGAAGGGGGGGGTGGGTCTAGGATGTGGGTCTGTCATGTGCCCCTTCTTACTCTGCCCCATTTGGCCCTTTGTCGTCACTACGAATCATATATGGAAGGGATAAGACATTTTTATAAGTCACCCTATGATTTTTTTTAGGCTTCTGTGCATACACAGAGTTCCAGTTTTTAAACTCGCCATTACGATGACCGGTATTAATTCAGGTATATGTGTAGACTCCCATCTCTCCCTCCACCCCCAATAGAAGATGCAGTGTGGTTCAAACTGCTTCAAGTTTAGTTTAATTAAATTGAATTTTAAAAAGAGCAACACTCCCCTATTTATAGTAACAATATTTTATTATTATTCTCCTCCTTCTCAGTACTGTATTAATAGTGGTATAGTAGTAGTCATCACACAGTAACTGTAGGCACATAAAAACTCCTAAAACTTAGTTAAAATAGGAAATTATAACTACAATTGCAAGTAGCTGATAAAGAAAAGGGGAGGGGAAATTGTCCATAAAAAGCAGTAGAAAAAAAGCAGCCACCAAAGACTAATTCCATTCTATTCATCCTCACAAGACTTGGAGAAACAAAAAAAGTACTGTACTGTACTGTACATACATGACTGACCATGTGCTCTCTGGTGCCCTCCAGTGGCCATACGTGCAATTGCAGTCTATTAAACATTCTGCTCTCTGCTGACCTCCGGTGTCCAGCCCTGGTATTGAAGCTTATCCATGAGCCTGCTCCCTGTTCCTCTGGTGGCTGCCCCAGGTACTGGAGTCTTTATGACTCACTCCCTGCTGCCTTCTGGTGGCCACTGCCAGTACTGCAGCCTGTTTATGAACTGGCTCCCAGTTGCTAGCTCCCAATCTCCAGTAGCCCATTTACAGATCTGCTTTCTGCTGCCCCAGTGGGCACCCCTGTACTGGAGCCTATTTATCACTGCCCTCTCTGGTGGCCACCCCACTCCTACTGCAGTACATTTAGGCAGCTGTTGTCTGCTGTCCTCTGGTGGCCATCCACCTCTATTGCAGCCTATTCAAAAACCTCTCTGCTGGCCCCCAGTGGCCAACACCTTCTATTACAGCCTATCTAGGTGCATACTTTCTGCTGCCCTCTGGTGGCCACCACTGCTATTGCAACCTATTTAGGCATGTGCTCTGTACAGCCCCCTGTGGCCACTCCTGCTATTGCATCCTATTTGTAAACCACTCTGCTGACCTCCAGTGGGCATCATCTGATATTGCACCCTATGTAGGAACCTGCTATCTGCTGCCCTAGTGTGGGCACCCTTTGCTATTGCAGCCCATTCACTGTATAACCTCTCTGCTGCCCGTTGGTGGCAAACCCTGCTATTGAAGCCTAGCTAGGCACCTCTTCTCTATTGAAGCCTATGTGTAAACCTCTCTGCTTCCCCCTGGTGGCCAACCTCTGTCTTTTTTGCCATTTTCTCCCAACTCTTCCTTGGAGATTGGAATGTACAACACCTTTTAATAGTGGCTGCGCCACAAATGTTGAGGTTTTTTTTTTGTTCAAAAAATTCCTTTCCTAATGATTCACAACAGAGAACACAGCACAGAAATCATCCTTCTTAAGTGAAATTAATCCATGTGGAAGAGGATCCATGCAATCTATTATGTCAAACTGAATAGGCATAAGAAAAATATTTGGAAAGAAAACAGTGAGAAAAATGTTTTAAGAGCTAAAACAATGAGCTGCAAACCCTTCTGATAGGTTCTCAGTTGTAACTACCAGAAGTCAGCCAGTCATTAAATGTGTTACATCGCTAAAACAACCAAGGATGTCAAGGCATTGAACATAGATGTTGCCAGTAGAAAAAGAATGCATTTTGTAACTAGATGCCTGATAACACTGAAGAGAGCCAAGAGAGAACACACAACATGAAGTAGTGATCAAAGAGGTATTTCAAGTAAACATTTTGGATTACTTGTCGATTGAGGGCAAAACAATTTAAGGAAGCAATGACACACCTGCTACAAAGAAAGAACCTACAGAATGTTGGCGGTTTTGTGTATGCTGTGTATGTGGCATCCAGTTAACAAAGAAATGAGCAACTGTGGCCCTCCAAGTGCTTTTTTAAAGCTAACATTGTGAACAGTGTCTGGAACGGCCCAAGTTGTAGTTGAACAGCTATGCAACTCACACCCTTTCGCTTGCTCAATCACTAGTTCCAAACCTGACTGTTGCATATTTGCTGCCTATCTCATTGGTTGTATATCTTTATGACTCCCTGCCATGAGTTGAATTAACACACAAGAGGGACTACAAGAATTATCGTTAAGACTTGTCCCAGTTTATAGTCATTTGAAACAGTCTTCCAGTAGTCAAGGGTCCAGTCAGGGCCCCATTTGTCCTGATAGCTCAATCTGTAAATGCAGAAACCTCACGGTAATAATGAGCAAAGATATTCATTCATTAGGTGAGTGTGTGGGCAGTGGGAGGGAGTGATGAAACTTAAGAAAGGAACCCCAACCCAGTGGCAAAACATACATATTTTGTCCTAGAAATTCTCTTTTGAGTTCAACCAGTATTGAAGAGTGGAACACTAACAAAATAGTTGTTTGGTTACCTCCTCTGCAAGGAGTCTTAGGAAGCTGTGCCTCTTGCTTCAGTAGCTCTTCGAATCACTCCTTCCTGCTTCTCACCCTGTCTGTGGCCAGGGTGTCCTGGAGAAAGGCTGTAACTCAGTGGTAGACCATCTACTTGGAATGCAGAAAACCCCAGGTCCATGCCCAGGTAGAGCTGAGAAAGATTGCTACTCAAAACCTGGAGAGCCACTATCAACTGATGATAACAGATACAGAACAAGTGCCTCTTCCTACACCCCCAAGGGCTTAAACATTATTTCTCCATCTCAGAGGCATGCACATTCATGTGTGACTACCTGGGTTTGCAAGGGGACCCCAAGTTGCTTCCTGGTTCACTATCTCCTCTGATCCTTGGAATGATAAACCAGCCAGGAACCTAAAAACACATGTAAAGACATCAGATGGAACCCGGGAGCCCTGTTATGTAATGTGGGGTTTGTATAGTAATTATATGTGATAATATGACAAATAAGATTAAGTCTAGCAACGTAATAGAGAAAGATTGCAATACAAATGGATTTTAGATGCAGAAAAGAGCTAGCAAAGGAACAGTTGAGACTAGTGTGGCCTGAGATACTTGAGTGGTAGAGAGTAGTTAAAAGAAGACTTAGGAAGAGCTGAAGAAATGAATTTGTACGACAAGATGTTTTGTGTTGCGCTGGAAAGAGAGTGATTGTACAGAGCTAGTGCAACCATGTAAAGATATGTAAAGAACATTGGAAGGCTGAAGCATCTACTGTGATATCAGTAGGCATATCAACCACTATTTCTAGTGGTTAAGACTGTTTGATATACAAAGACTGTGCTCAGATCTCCATTTGGCCATGAAGCTTGCGATCTTATGCCAGTTCACCTCTCTCATTCATAGTGACGGCAGTTGTAAACATAAAGGAGAAAGTGCATGTCACTCGGAGCTCACTGGAAGAAAGATGGTATAAATATAATCAATACATAAAGTAATAATTCAAATTATACACTGCAGTCTATTGGAGAGTTGAAGAGTCACATGCGTGAATTCAGTCTGTATTATGCGTGGTTTCTGTCACGTCGGAACCGAATCATAGTTCAAAGTAAATGAGATATTTAAGAAGCGGTTTTACCAGTTCTGTTCTCCCAGTGGCCAAACGCAGCTCTCCATAGTGCTGGTCTGTCTCACTATCTGTAATCCACATGTCTTATATACATCAACTCAATTTGTGATCTTAGGCCAGTCACCCGAAACCATCCACACCAAAACACTAACCCAATGAAAGAAGCAGGCATTCTGGAGGCCATATGTTTCATGATTTTTGTTGAGGTTTTTCACTATTTCCAGGCTCAGTATGGCCCATGGGGTAAAAAATAAAATAAAATAAAAATCAGGCTGCAGGCCACCCTCCTCCCCACCCTAAAACATTGATAAAGAGAGGACAGCTGGAATGTACAAAGTGATCACTTACCGAAACTCAGAAGCATTCCAAACCAACGGGCTTTTCTCTCTGCAACACCACAGCTTGAAACGAGAGCAAAAAACCGATTAAAATGGATTCGATCCAACATATAACATTGCATTGTATTGCCTTGTGTTTTGTCTGTGAACATGGAGGGTGAGCGAGAGGCATCTGTGACGGGGGGGTGGTTTCTGCCAGATGTTGTTGGACTTCAACAAGAAGTTCGGACCATCATGGAGATGATGGGGCTTACGAGTCCAACAACATCTGTAGGTGGCCTAATCATTCCAAACAAAGAAGCACCTACCAGTTTAGTTCACATTTTTTAATAACATGGCACAGATTTACATTACACAAGTTTTTTGCTCATGAAGAAACATGCTGTGGACTGAATGTTGATTCAGAGTTGCTGGGGTATTCTTTTTTTCCCTCCTCTTTTCACATAGGCTCTAGAAAGGACTTTATTACATACAGGAGCAACAGCAAAAAGATTTGTATATAACAATTTCTTTACAATACTGAAAGCTATCACTACAGTGCCAGAGTACAATTCCCCCCAAATTCTCTTCTTTTTTTTGTTCCTTTTGTCTTGTTCTTTAAAAAACAAACCACTGCACAACATCTGGAGTTCACAAAATTGGAAGTTCACAACTAAAACTTTTTAGGTGACTACTAAAAATAGAATTCTGATCATTAGAAACAACTGTCTGCAATTAGACTTTTTCTCTCTTTTTCTGTCAAAACAGGAAAAACAACTTGATGTTACGTTAATACACTTAGAAGACCAATGAAACTCTTTTGTTTATTCCATACACACATTTTTTTACAGTCCAGGAGTATGCAAGATAGTGTATGCTTTCTGAATAAAGTCATATTTTCTCCAAATTATTTCAGAACAGAATACAGCATTAAAAGAAAGATATATATGGAAATGGAAGTTTAAGAAAGCCAGAACAATTGCATTAAAAAAGTTATATATTTTGTTGGCAAGACAGAGTCCCCCATGCTTAGAAACAGCAGAACTAATCAAAGACACGTTAAACCAAAATGTAAGAACTACTGTATTTTTCTTTGTATAAGACTATACTTTGTCTAAAATCTTTAGATTAAAAATTGAGGGTCATCTTATACACGGAAGTAAGCTGAAGAGAGAACAAAAATAAGTAGAGGGAGAAAGCAGGGATCAAAGTGATCCTGCAGTGCTTTTATACCTTTCCCCCTACACTTGCTAAGCCCCACTTATATTTCTTAATTTTGGATTAGAAAAGTCTTATACATGGAAAAATACAGTACTTTTCAAAAATCCCATAAAGTTGCCTTTCCCAACTTGAGACTTCTCGTACGAGCTGAGACGACAACCCTCACAATCGCTATAAGGACAGATATGCTAGCAGGCAACAATGGGAGCTGCTGTCTGAAGGTAAGAATGTGATTTATCAAATAGAGAAATACATGGTGGGCATACCCCACTGTTGCTAAAAAGCCCACAGGTACGTTCCAATGCATACTTACTTGGAGATTAAATCTACAGCAGGGAGTTTAGGACTTCAGATTTAAGAAGGGAAAAATGAGAGACCAAGAATGTTTTTCTCAATATAAATAACATCCCAGACTCTGGACAGTTCCAAGAACTGCTACTGCACATAACCTCAGAGTTAAGGTGTCAATAAAAACATGGCATTTGGAAACTGAAATGTTAACATTACTGCAATATCCGATTATGAACTGTTGCTACAGAATTTCTGAAGTAAATCTACCACAAGGATAAGGGATGTGGTGGTGCTGCAGGCTAAAATGCAGAAGCCTGTGCTGCAGGGTCAGAAGACCAGCAGTCGTAAGATCAAATCCACCCGATGGAGTGAGCTCCCGTCGCTTTGTCCCAGCTCCTTGCCAACCTAGCAGTTCGAAAGCATGTAAATGCGAGTAGATAAATAGGTACCATCTCGGTGGGAAGGTAAAACGGCGCTCCCTAGTCAAGCTGGCCACGTGGCAATGGAAACTGTCTTCGGACAAGCGCTGGTTCTATGGCTTGAAAAACGGGATGAGCACCGCCCCCTAGAGTCGGACACGACCTTTACCTTTACCTACCATAAGGATAAGCACATGCCAACACATCAGTTCTACTGCAATCCTTATTAGCATTTTTTACTGTTTGTTCTTGTAATCTTTTAGAAGTCAGATACGGGGAACTTTCTTTTGAACGCAACACCCAGAATCCCTCAGTCAGCATGGCCACTACTCATGGTAACTGTCAGAGTCCAGAAGACTAAACATTTCTCACCTCTAGATCCATCCTATTTTGGGCAAAATGCTGCAACACTGTGTCATCCATTATACACTGTGAAGCAATTGTGGTTAACCTATGGACATAAATGCACTCACCAAGGCCAAATTCTAGAACTATCTGTCCTCAGCACCTCCACGTTCCCCTTGAATTCCTTGTTCCATGGCTTAGCAACCTATATCTGGGGAAATGCCTCAAATCAGGTACCAATGGATAACTGGCCACTAAGTCAACTGTGAACATACTGTTTCAAACCTAACCAGGGTTGGGGGCCAGTACTTGGGTGGGAGACCATCTCCAGGTGGAGAGAGCTCTTGAGGCCGAGTCAAAGTTGACCGTGCCGAGCGAAGGGGCAGCTTCTTTAGTTCTTAACGAGTCCAGTGCCTTCAACAACAGTCTTGCTGGCTGAATGGCCTACGTGAGCAGCTCTGTCAAACCTGCAACTGGACCAGAGATTTGAAGATGGGATTAAGGCAGCCGAAGGAGCTGCCCATATTTACCTGAGCTAAGAGGTTCCAGGACACTGCTAAGTGACAAGCAGCACAGCAGAATAGCAACATAGCTTCTGCTGTTTTGTGAACAAGATGTTGGGATACTGAGATATGCATAGTACCCTAGGCAGGAAGTTGGTTTTGGACCTTGGGAAGGCAAATTCAAATTCTGTTTGGCGAAGCATTCAATCCATAGATCTGGGGGTGTCACCGCCTTGGATTATGTTGATCAGGGCAACCCAGTAAGGGAAACACGGTCGAAGCCCTTTGTTCCGCAACATAAAACCCTTAGTTGAAAAATAACAAGCAAAAAATTAATACCTGCTTTTGTTTGCTGGAGAAGTCCTACATTTTGATGGCTTAATTTCTATATTAAAAAGATTAGACGGAAGTTTAGTTCGGGGAAATTATGACTTTAAGTGAATGTTTTGACAAGGCTCCTATGAGTTAAACAGGCTTTTGTGAAAAGCCCTAAAATTCATTGCATAGCTGAAGGGATTTAGCTGTCTCAACAGATCCACCACAACTTCCAATTGTGGCGTTTTGGACAGTTTAAGAAGTATTCATGTATTATGTTTACTTAGCTTTCAGTATTTACATATTTACAAAGTAAAGCTTTCATCTTACCCAGTTTGCATATATGACCCAAGGGAAAAAAAAACTGTTCTTAAAAACTCTTCCAAAAAAATAAAACAAGATTTATGTTGTCTTCGTTTCAGCAAGAGAGAACTTTGCTCATTGGAAGCAAAATACGGACTCGCCTGTTGTTCCTGCAGATATTTAAAATCATAGAAAAGAATAAAATACTGTATCTAAAGAAAGCATGTCAAGTTTTTGTCTAAATCCTTTCCGAACGGTTTGCCACATGAAATATACAACGCAATTAAAAAAAAAAACCAGCAAACCACAATAGCCTTCCACACTTGGGTGTATACATTTTGTACAGAGGGTCATAAACAAAGTTTCTTATCCATTGAGTAAGAAGATTAGATATATTTTTCACTGAAGAGCATCTTCTCCGGGCCGTGTTCAGTGTGTCTTATCGGGCCTCTATGTCCTTGAGTGTATGAGAGGGTGGCCTGTCCCTCATTTCTGTCGACAAGGGGGTGGTCCTTCGTGGCGAACCAGGCCGTGGTCCCAGAGTGGAAATGAGAGGGGGAGGAGCGCTGAGAGCTGCCGTGGGGGGAGTTTTGTTGAGAATCCCGTTTTGAAGTCCTGATGGGGGGCTGACCCTGGGGTAGTGCATGCTTGGAAGGCCTGGGGCGATTAAACCCGGGTGATGCAAGTGGCCGTCCAGAGCCGCTGGGTGGACGGAGTGAAGGCGTATGTGCTCGTAGTCTTCCCTAAGCAAGTGCAACCGCTCCCTCTCGTCCAGGTGAGCCCCCCTTTCGTGCTCCCGGCGAGGGTCGACAGAAAGGGGGTGGTGATGGTGATTGTAGTCATGCGGCTCCCGGTCCCTGAAAGACCTCTCTGTGTCGTATAGCCTGGGCGCAGAAAGACGGTGCAAGGGGTCGTTCCTCAGAAGGAAGTCTCTACCCAAAGGGTCTCTCCGGTGGATGTCCAAGTCTCGGTAGGGATCCCAGTGGAAAGAAGGGTAAGGGAAACGCTCGCCCCCGGGAATGGGGCTGATCCCCATAAAAGGCGTCATCATGCGAGTTCTGTCGAGGCCGCTGATGCTGTTCATAGGGTGGGTGCCGGCGACGCCCACTGTCATGGGCACAGATGCCAAAGGGGCCGAGTGGATGCTGGACGTGGGCATGGGGGGTGGCAGCTCGGACGGGCGATGAGGCTGTGATGCCTCCAGAGGAAGATCGTGGTCTTCCTTCCTTTCCTCTTTCACTTTCACTTCGCTGGATTTCTTCAGATTCTCATATGCTGCTTCGGTTTTCTTCTCCGCCTCCCGGCTGGAGGTGCTGTTAGGCCTGATGCCCTCCGTAGCAGGTGGCCTCGTATAGGGGGAAGAGACCCGCGATGCCTGCTTAGAGTCTTCCGCTGGCCTATTCTCAGGGGCCAGGCCTTCTTTGTCCAAGACGTAACTGTCTTTTGCTTTGTGCTCGTCAATGCTGACCTCTTTCTGAGATTCGGAGTGATCCCTCTCTCTTTCTTTGTGTTTCTCTTTCTCCCGAACGTCTGGGTTCAGGTGGCTCCTGACTGGCTCAGCTGAGCTGCGGTTATGCCCGAGGGAGCTCAGGGAATGGACAGATGCAGGCGAGGGATGGCTGGAGTGTCGCTTCTCAGTGCTCTCCCTAGATAGAGAGAAGCACAAAACAGTCAGCGCCGCAGAGACCGGTTTCCGAAATTCGCAACTCCAGGGGTTGTTATTATTATTAGTTTTATTTGTACGCCGCATTTCTCCCAACAAAGGGACCCAAGGTGGTTATTATATATACCATGGGTTGGAGACAGACTGCTGGACTGCAATGTCTCATCAGCCCCAGAAAATGATCATAGGATTTCTCCCAAATCATCACACAGTTCCCAATAGGTCTAAGCGTTTCGACCGCTTCATCATCATTCTGGGGCAACCGTTACCCAAGGAAAAAAAAGCAATCATCTGGTTCAGGAAAAATGCTTTCTGTTAATGTAAGAAGAAGCTACCCCATCCTCAAGATTAAAGAGAATATTTGAAGTCACGCATGCAAATTAATATATGCAAAATGAGGGACGATGCGAAAATGATACAGCTGGGAACGGCCAGCTCCTACATTTCCTCAGAGCTCAACACCCCCAGATAGGGTGCTGTTATGCCGCAGCCTCTGATCTCAAATGAAAAGTAAAATTTTGGGGCTTGAATCGAATCCTAGCTAGAGCAGATCCATGGAATCAATGGGACTTATAAAAGTGTTGACTCATTATTCACCCGTTGTCTACCAAAGGCCCAGAAATGGGAAGGGAATTGCCCGGCAGATGAAGGAAATGAAGTGGCAGTGATACTGGGGCAGAAGGGAGGGAGATAAGTTTCGGAGAGCATTGGTGAATATTTTTTAGTTCCCGGTATGCCTTCCCCATCCCAGCTTTGCACTCAACCGTGTCTAGAAAGTTGTGCTTCCATACCTTTCTTTGTCATCCTTACTAAGAGAAGAGTCTCCTTTATCTAGATCTCTATCCCGCTCATGAGCTGCAGCAGATGTACTGCGTTCCAGCTCACCTGGCTTCAGCCAGGGCGGAGGGGTCGGGAACGAAGGAGGAGTTCGGTGTAGACGGTTCCAGGGCTCGTGAGGGTTGCTAAAACTCTGCATACTGGGGCAATCCTTGTGGCCGAACATAGCGTTGGGTGCTGAAATGGCGAAGTGGAGGGGAAAAAGGGATATATGCTCAGTTGACAGTACTTACCAATCAAACTCAACTTTAATTTTTTTTTAGTTTTTACAGCATTCAGGAATTAAAATGAATACATGTTATGGGTAGCTGGAAAAGGAAAGGAGATTAATAAATAAGCATTAGCACGTGGCATTCTGAATAGCAGAAAGGCAACTGAGAAAACAGAGGAGTGCAATATTTCGAGAGGGGTGTGTGAATCAGGCAGACACTAGAAAAGTGCCTTGCTATGTAATGCACATTTTTTTTCCTGTTAAGGCATCTGAAAGAACATATAATAACCCCAAATTTGAATGCATTCAGTATTCCCTCAGTCTGATCAATACCAGGACAAATTTATTTGCTTTAATTTGAAAACATTTATATTCTGTTTCTTTTTTTTTTCAATTCACGGACTGTTAGGTTTGAAAATAAATAAAAGATAAATATTGAGAACTTAATTTATTCCTATTGATGTTCAATTTTGAGAACATTCTGTTAGTTAAAAAATCATTAACTACCAGAAGCCTTGAGCAATCTTATAGACTTTGGTTACGTATCTAAAGTTCCTGGTTGTCTCCATCAACCAGAAGAGACAAGAGTTGGGTGACCTGACACAAGTCTTATGTTAAAAGGGAAGGGGGATTGTACAGCGACATGTTCCCATACATTTTAAATGAGTAAAATCCTCAAAATTCTTTTGAAACATCCTCCTCCTTCTTCTGATGTTACTCCAGAGAGGGTTTTAAAAATCAATACATTATTTCCAAGCTCTGTTCATGATGAGCCACCAAAACGGCCAACAAAATCCAAGAATAAGACAATGCATGTAAAATAATGAAAAAGCCTAATATTTCAATGAAATGTAGGCACGATGGTCATAACAGAATCTAGGGAAGGAAAAAAGAGAGGAAGAACAGCCCAGCAGGAACGTGATGGCTAATATCCAGCAAAATACAACGCCTGCCAAATCAAGAACTTTTTTCTGCAGCCCTCTGTGATGCCCAAAATATGCTCATGGTATAGGCAAGAAAGATGGACTCTGAAGGACCCTCGAGGGATGCTGAGAGGGTGGCCGATTCTGCCAGAAGCAGCCTGAATCTGTGCAGGCAGATGGTTGATTCTTGGCCAACAAAGCCAACCATTTCCTTCCAGAGAAGTTTTTATAGAAGCGTGGGAAATCGAGAGAGAGACAGAGTGAAAACAAGAATGAGTTACGACTAGATAATTACACAAGAGCTGAAATGGGCACTAGAGCCCATCCTGATGAGACTACTGGTATTGGGTTTGCATAACTCACTAAATTAGAGCTAATTGTTGACGGTTCCGGCATCGTGGTCACAGTTACACAACTTGAGATGTGCCCTGCTATGATCACAATAAGTAATGCAATCCTTACACAAATACCGGCAGGATTCTAGCCAATAGTTGCCCTTCGTTTAGGACCGATGTCTTTAATTTCTTATCTTATTAGCTTGGCTTTTACTCTGCTTTTGAGGAATTAACTGGACTGAAATGTCTTTAACATTTTGTCCGATCACCCTCTGATTCACTGAAAGTATTTTATGGCAGGGAAGAAGGTGTAAAAATGAAGTTTGCCAGCATTCTCTAAGATAGCCCATGCGGGATAAGTAACCTGTTTCTAATTGAGATTCAAATAAAGTTTTTGAGGTTTACCTGGCATAGTTGATGAGGGTTTCCCCCATCATTATGATATATATATATAGCCGAAGTCCACAGCCACTTTTGAGGTGTTTGGACTAAAGCTGTGACAGTCTAACACTGCGATCCAGACTAAAAAAATGTGGTCAACCTCTCTTAGCTTGTTTTTTTTTAACTTCTGCCTCAAAATAATAGGTGCCTTCTGATTCGGATCGACAGTTCTGTATCATTACAGAGAGCTCCCCCTCTTTACTAGCGTTTTAGAACAACCTCTTTGATTGTTATAAAATATGAAAAGATTAAACAATAAAAAGAGCTATTTTGGCTGGATTACCATACTGTCAGGAAGAAATTAGCTCAGTCTGTCTGTCTGTCTATCTGAAGCTGAGAAGATTAGCTTCCTAGGTGGCTGCAGTGGCATGCCACAAAAAACATATGGATTTGTGGTTGCTGCTGAAATTCAGGGGCCCCACCACAGCTCTCTAGGCTGCAAGTAGAAATCGGAAAGTGATGTTGGAAACAGGGCAAATGAAGTAGCCAAAGCAACAAGGAGAAGGTTTTGCTGAGCAGAGAAGGGGTATTCCGGATTCTAGGGTTATGTTTTGGTAGTGGCAGATGTTCGTAGTGGTGATGGCACATTGACGTAGCGGGGTGTGGGGCTGAAGGTGGTCTTGCCCATCATAGTTTTAAACCTCAAAGTGTCTAGCACTGCCAACCAGAGTAACCCAAATCTAACAAACCATTTCAAGCTAATGCCTAGAATCCAAATGAAGAATTATTCCAACATAAATCCAGCAGTGTGAACTTCAGTGGCAAACTGCCACTGGTTAAGAAGCTGCATTTTTACATTTGTGTGTCATCTTGCACAACTAGTAGACAACAATATATTTCTTGATTGGCTGCAATCAGCCACTGAGATTTACATCCACAGACCTATGCTGTTGGGACACAAATCCGGGCCAACACATCGAACATCAGTGGATCCACACAGCGACTAGAAGAGAAAAGCAGCTGGTTCGAGTGGATTCAGGGATGTTGAGCCAATGAACGTTGAGCCACTGGATGTCAATCTGAGAATGCTCCCCCCAAACTTCCCTGAACCCGGGGAAGTCAAAGGGTTTACGGGTTTTATATCAGCAAGAAAAATAAAAGAGTATTAATGGGTTTGAGGTATTGTGGTCCTCAAGCAATGGGGCATGACCCTTCAAGAGAAGCACATAATATGATTTTGGTAGAGACGTGTTCCTTTAAAAAAAATCTAGCTGTGGCTAACTAGAGTGTACCACAGAGATAAAGATAAATAAATGTATGCATGCTATTTCACATCACTGATCTTTCATTCCTTTATCTGCAGGGTAGAGTTTGTTGTGCGTCTCTCTGAGCTCCCTGTTTAAAGATCTCCCCACCAAATCCTTCTCTGTCATGGGACAAATCCTAATTCCCCCCTCATGCTAGATTAAGTCCAGAACAGACTTCCCCATCTGAAGATTCAACACATTTGTAAGATTTTATGCTTTATTGAAAAGGGGCGTAAGTCTGAAAACAAAGAGTGACAGATGTTCAGCTAGGTTGAAGCACACCAGCCCGCACGTCGGTTTAAGACCTTTGCGAGAACCAAAGGATGATTTGGGAAGGGCAAATATGCACCCAATCTTGTTTTTAACATGAACGGTTCCTGTGTCTAGGATCCTCGAGGACAATCTGAACAAAAGCCTGACACAGCCAGAGTGGGAAGAGAATTTACTCACTAACGGCAGGGTTCCCAAGTCCCCCGAAGGCATTGCCACTCATGGCTGCGAGGCTGGTGAACGTCGTGGGCCGATTAAAAGTCTCTGAAACCAAAGGAAAAGACGCTAATGGGAAGGGCGTTCCCTAGGGTGGAAGAGCATCTTTGCCGCATATGCACATATTGCAATGACAAACTGAGCCTTTTCCAGAATCACTGTTTTGCAGACTGGAGGAGACGGAGACGGTTAACGGTTTAGAGGAGGGTCCTTTAAATGTGAGGATTCGCAGCATAGGACTCTGTGCATGGAAAAGACCAGTCCCCTATATTATTCGCTCTATTCAGGATAGAGCTGAACGCATAAAGAACAGAGGCAGGCCAGCTCCTCCTCTGCCCCTCTCTGCTCTCTTAACAGACGGCGTACAATAGCCCGAGCAGGTGAGCCTTTACTACACATGGAGAATGTCCTGACAAATCACGCTTTCCCAGCTTTGTCGGCTGCACATGTAGATGATGCTGGCACATTCAACCTGGGGGGAGCTGGCTTGCTTCTTCTCCTGGTTAATCCCGGGAAGAAAACCTAAATGGGGGTTACTCTTTCCTCATTCTGCAATCCCTTCCCTTCTACACAACGTCTACCAGGAATGTTGGATTTTGGAATATCCATATTGCACCACGACATGGCTCCGTAGCCATTTCCTGATAGAACGGCCAATCTATATGAAATAAATACAAATCTCAGCATATATTTCCAAACTCGCATACTCTCTCTTTCTCTTAAATTCTAGCAGCATATACTTACAACCGGGAAAAGTCTACTGAGCCAAAAGGGACTTCGTTCTGAGAGAACACTGGCTAAACTACACGGTTAATATCTTCTAAGAACTTGACAACTGCCTTTTTATTTTGGGACCATCTCAACGTCATTTCGGTGCCAACTTGGTTTTATTGCTCTGCTGCTTTTATTTTACATTAATATACATCAATTAATTCATTCCTCACTTTTCTGCCCTCTACCAAGATAGATTAAAACATTTATTTTAAAAATACAGCTATAGAGTTCCTCTCATTAATACGTTCCCACTGTTGCAGATTAACAGTTCTTCAGCGAAGGGCAGTATAGATGTCTGGATAATGAAAATAAAATATTATTCCTGCGATTCTGAATGTTTAAGAGACATTCACATGAAATTCACATGAAGACCACCTTCGATACATGAAGATGGAGAATAATTACTATGTGCTACCCCCTGACAATGGTACCCAACTTTTTCAATCCGTGGCTCCCTTGACTTATTGGCCACTGGCTATGGCGGCCCAAAACAATAGGACTGCCATTATCCACAGTTTCACTTATCCGCTGCCTGACTCCCCCTGCCAGGAAATACACATTCTCAAAGTATATTACCAGATAGACAGAACCAGAGGCTATGCTATGTACAGGTGGTTTCATGAAAACTCAGTTGTGGCCTGACGTCTCCGAGGGAAGCAACTTCCAGGAAAATGGGGAAGCTGCATTTGGGGGTGGGCTGGGAGAAGGCCTGCTTTGTGAACAGGAGGGCAGGGAACCCAGTTCTTTGGCAAAACTGGGTGATCTTCCCTCTCTCCACCATGTATGGACAGAAGAGAAACTGGAAGTCAGCGCTGTACAATACTTTGGGGAGAAAAGAGAAGGAGAAAGGGGGGAAGGATGAGAAGATTTCGTGATGCTTCTGGAGGGGGGTTTGGCAGTGGTTCAGTTTGAGAACTACTGTTCCAGAGGATAGGGCTAGAATCTATGTGCGAAAATGGCAAAGGAGATTTGAGATTTTTTTTAAAAAGTTCATCTATTCAGCTGCAGAACGGTGATGGTTATGTTTGAAGGAGATTTGTTTCCAATATAAATTAAGGATCATGAAATAATTTTTCTCCCTGCATTTCTGCTGAAAATTTTACTATTTCAATCCTAAACGTGCCAATTTAGAAATTAGTCTTGTTGAACTCAAGCGGATTTGCAGGATGTCACTGTTGGCAATCATGTTTTAGTGGTAATGAAAAGATCATGGATAATTCAGATATAAACTCTCACATAAATTTGATATCTTTTAGGAGCTATTGCTTGTACGTTGCAAGTTTAGTATTGTTTTATAGTTTCATAGTGTTCAGTTTGTTTGGTCTTTGACCGTAAATAAATTGATTCAATTCAGTGGCAGTGAAACAATTTATACTACTTTGCTATAAACAACTCTGTGTATAGGAAATTCACCCAAAGAAGGACAGTCGTTTTAAAGGAATTTTCATCTATAACCACAGGAATTAGAGTTCACATAAATTCATAACATTGATGTTAAAAATTTGGCCTGTGAAATTTGCCATAGAAGTTTCTCTTCTCTCTCCTCAGATCAAGAGCAATTCACCCACCCTACAAAAATGTCCTCCAGAAGACATTTGTTGCTGATGGATGTTATAGCCCAGAAATGAACCCTATGCTTTCCCTTAGCTCCTATTTTTTCTGCCCAAACTAGAAACCTTCTCTTCCTGGGACAGCTTGCCTGCTTCAAAGGGGTTGGAAGACCCATTGCATTTCGTGTCACAAGAGTGCTAAATAGAGGCACAAACTCCAACCTTACTGGAATGATTCTAAAGAACACTGTTGAGTCTTGGTCCAAGGAGTTTAAAAACAAAATTTCCTGCTATAATTGAAAAGTAACTGATTACACTTCTCATAATTCCTCCTGTTTTGTTTCATGACTTTTCATTACTTTAAACACACACACATCCCTTGGGATTCATAAGAACGTGGCATGAAAAGAAACAGTGGCTGAGATCCAGTAGTAAGTGGCAACTAGAGTAGGCCCACTGAATCAGTGGAGACTGGGTGAGGCAACATCTACGTATACTCCATTGATTCAATGGGCCTACTCTAGTTGCAACTTAACTGCTTGTTCTCAGGCGTGGAAAAGCAACCAGAATACATTATTAATCACACCAGTAAAGTTCCTGCATTCCCACTCAACTTGGTACTTACGAAGCGCAATTCCATTACTATATACCTTTATATCCCATCCCCCAAAGGAACCAATTAATAATTAATCATAACGTTGCACTTCGGACATTGATATTGCCTCTTACTTTCACAACAGAACTCAACACAGTGTCCATATGGTTGCTACGTGGCCTCCGAGCCAGGCCCCAGCTAGTTCTAGTTCACAGCGTCAGTAAAGTTATTTGGTCAGGGTGACTTCATGCTGTGCCCCTAAACTGTGGGGAACGCTCTCACACGCGGCGGGCGCCTCATCTCCTTTGCTTGGCGCTTGACTACAAGCGGTTACGCTTCACTCACCTAAATGGGCAGCAGGGTTGAGGAAGTTGTTGTGATGTGGGGGAGGTCCGAACGGAGGGCCGGCGGGATGGGCGGCACCTGCCGAAAGAATATTCAGAAGAAAAGCATTTGGGTCAAAGTCTTGCGGCAAGCTGAATGCTCCAGTCCCTGAACCCTGAGATGCCAATGATGCTAAAGAAGAAGACAGTTTGGCCCAGGTCCCATCCTTGCATGAGGACGGCTGGGACGTCCATGTGCTGCTCAGATGTGGCAACCCTACGCTTGAGGGATCCGTGCCAAAGAGAGCAGCCACATCAGAAGGCCCAAGTCCTCTTGACAAGGTCCTACACTCCACAAACTGTACTAAGACAGTTTAATAATCATATCCAGCAGGAAATCCTGGTGACGAAGCACCAAGCTTCAGGCTGAGGGCTGTCCCTTTAAGAAACAGAAAAGTGGTTGGACCTCTGAAAGGTGGTGCTCACCAAAAGCTAAACTTGGCACCCCATCTTATTTCTTTAATGTACTTGCATGCTGCTTTTCTCCTCGATGGTTGTCTTGCTAGCCCATAGGCTCTTGAGACTAGCCTGAACATGATCTCTGGTCTTGCTTTGCAATCCGCTGTAAAGGATTTTTAATTTTTTTTAAAAAAGAAAAGTATCATTCAGATGAACAGGTGGGCTGAATGTGCTGGATATCCTTATTATTTTGATAAATTATCTGATGAAAACAAGACCAGGAACAAAAGCAGTCATGCTCTCTTGACCGACAGGGCTGTAGTGGAAGAAAACCACGACCACGAAGAACTTCAGAGCTTGTTAAAATTAATGTTGGGGACTGCAAAAGCTCTGGAACCTAAAAACAGGCACCGATGGTGAGGCCTAAACTGGAGACTGTCAGCCACAAGCCCACTTGAACCAAAGCCTCCTAAAGACCATCCATCAGAGAGATCTCTGTAAGGAACGGAACCCTTTTCAGTGGGTGCCACCACAAGATCCGGCAGCACCAGCCTTTATAAAGACCCTACAAAGGAAGAATGAGAGAGGACTATCTACTAAGTTCTTAGAAAGACTCTTTGCTCCAGGAATCCTCCATTCTCCAGGAAATAGAGGGACTCCAGGAAGGACACTGTGTTCCCTTCAGAAATTTTCAGAGCTACTGTATCCATAGGATTAGTATCCACTGATTCACTTATCCACGGTCTGAAAATATTAAAAATATTAAAAGACAAACATCCAGAAATATTTTTTTTCGCATGTATTAACAGAACTGGTGACTAGGGGGAGCCAGAGACTGTGCTATGAAGGATACATAGCATGGTCTCTATATGGTCAGTTCTGGTAATGCATGAGAAAATAAATTTTTTTCTTTTCCTTTCATCATACTATATATATAGCGTTTGCTGTTATCCACAGTTTTCAGTATCAGTAGGGGGCCTGGAACTAGAGATGAGGGGTATTCGTTAACTCCAGCTGCGCGGGGATATAGGAATACCCCCATCTCTACTTGGAACCAATCCCCAGCAGATACGGAGGTCTGTAGTTGTTTGCTTGGAGCTATCCAAGGTCCTGAAGCTGCAGTCTTTACACTGTCTGTCAATTCACAAGAAGCCAAGACGTTTTTATAGAGATATAGCGCACACTATATATGTGCTGTGTCTTATACTGACCCTCTGACCTCCATGTTCCATCTATATGTTTGCCGATTGGTGTTTTTCATACTCACTGGCTGCAGAGAATAGAGTTGATGGCCGAGCTAAATCATGAGGATGGTGGATAGCCCCGAAGAGACTTGGGCCTGGTGGCCGACTCAGAAATTCAGGTTTCAAGCCAAAATCTAATTTATGGGGATCTGACTGCATCTGTTTCTGAAACAGGAAGACGTAAAGAATACGGTTATGAAAAAAAGCAGACTTTTCTCAGGATAGTCTTCTATCTAACAGCTTTGCCGGCAGGGATGTGTTTCATTAGATTTCACAGACATGATGGGTTTCTCTGGAGATCAGGAGCCTTCTAAAGGATAAGGTGAAAGCAGCAAAGGTTCTCTGTTGTCTAAAATGAGTTTTATTTTGCCATTACTATATATCATAAACATTTTAAAAATAATTCGATAACATTATAAATTGCTTGGTGAGCCTTACTAGGAAGAGAGGCAAACAACTAACCAACAAGCACTTGATTCATAACAAACGGAAGCCAAGAAATCAACACTCATGTCTTGCAAATATATGGAAATATAAGAAGCTGCATTATCACGGCAGCTAATTCGAGCCCTGGCAGTGGGTCTCTGAGGCCTCACATAGAGAAGTGTCTTTCTGAGATGGAATCTGAAGGTTCTTCCATGTAAGTGGTGCACTCTGTTACTGATGGTTAACTCCTTCCTTTTAAAATCATGCCACTAGCTCACAGCAACTCACCTTGACCTTCTGTTGGTGGTGGTATATTTGCCAAGCAATATGCACATGCATAGCACACCATTTTCCTGGTTTCTACAAAAGAAGAAAGCATACAGTGACAAAAATGGCACAAATTAGCTACGAGAGGAGCATCCAAGACTTAACCTGTCCTCATTTGACCATTGTTGCTCTTTGCCTTTCTTCCATCATAAAATTCAAGGGGATGCATCGAGAAGGCCCTGCCTGGGAATCCTTCTTCTGTCAAGTCTTAAGGCCTGTTTAGGTTCAAGAAGGTTTCCAGCCATGGTGTGCCACTGGGAAAGCCCTCTTAGCTTGTAGAAGAGAACGTTGTAACTGAGTGGCAGTTTGTAAACCTGTCCTGGCAACTACACAACTGCTCATGCATAGCAGAGGTAGAGGCACTGTTGGCCCTCCAGATGTTGAAAGAGTGCCAGGGTGGTGTAGTAGGTAACAGAGGAGTCCTGGGTTCAAATGTTCATGGAAACGCACTAGGGAGCGTTCATTTGTTCCCTGAACACTTCATATCCCTTAGGGATACCATAAGTTGGAAGCTACTTTGACAACGGGTAACAACAGCACAGATTTCCAAGCCCTTTTCCCTAGAAACCTGCCACATGTCAATCTTATGGTGACTTGACTATCTCACACATCACATTCACTCTAGGGTAGTGTGGGGGATATTCACACACAGTGTCTAGCTTTGCATTGGTCACTTTGCGAGCCACCTCCCTACAAGATCCACAACATACAAAGCATGACTAAAGCTGCTAAAATATGTTTAGCCTGGAGAAGAAGGAGAGACAAGATAGTGACCTTCAAATATCTGACGAGATGGTCCAGATTTCTATGTCTCAGCAGAAGGACGAACTGGAACCATCGGGTAGAAGTGAACAAAAAAGCAGAATTCAGCCAAACAGGAGGAAGATTTTCCCCCATAGTGTATTTGGGAATCTTTCCGCAACGAAACAGACTGCTCTGAGTGGTTGGCCAATCTGTGTTAGACATACAGTATTTAAGTTGGGTAGCAGCAAGGACTACCGCAAAAGCCTTTGACTGTGTGGACCACAGCAAACTATGGCAAGTCTTTAAAGAAATGGGAGTGCCTGACCACCTTATCTACCTCCTGAGAAATCTATATGTGGGACAGGAAGCAACAGTTAGAACTGGATATGGAACAACTGATTGGTTGTTCCATATCCTTGGGAAAGGAGTACGACAAGGCTGTATATTGTCCCTCTGCTTATTCAACTTATATGCAGAATACATCGTGTGAAAGGCTGGACTGGAGGAATCCCAAACCGGAATTAAGATTGCCGGAAGAAATCTCAATAACCTCAGATATGCAGATGATACCACTCTGATGGCAGAAAGTGAGGAGGAATTAAAGAACCTCGTAATGAGAGTGAAAGAGGAAAGCACAAAAAATGGTCTGAAGCTCAACATAAAAAAACCACTAAGATCATGGCCCATCACCTCCTGGCAAATAGAAGGGGAAGATATGGAGGCAGTGACAGATTTTACCTATTCATCTACTCACATTTGCATGCTTTCGAACTGCTAGGTTGGCAGGACAAGCGACGGGAGTTCACTCCGTCGCGTGGATTCGATCTTACCGCTGCTGGTCTTCCGACCTTGCAGCACAGAGGCTTCTGCGGTTTAACCCGCAGCACCACCACGTCCGTTTTTTTCTTCTTAGTACAGGTATTATTTCAGTTATACTTGATCATAACCACAGAAATGTGTCTCTTCGTCTCTTCCACCCATCAGATCAGCAGGAAAGGCTGATGGGAAAGTATTGCATATGACAGATCCAACTAGATTTTGCACAGAAAAAAATAAAGGAATGTGCAACCTCAAAAACACATAAACACACATTTGTAAATTTGTACTGCATATTGTTTGTCACAATTGTTCATAAGGATTGTGTTTGCCTTCAGTTTGCTCTCTGTTTTTCTCTGCCTTCATTTTGCTTTAACATGGATGTTTTCCACGATTCACTGCAGAAATGGTGAATGCACGCTTCTATATGAAGATGCTTTCTGCAGTTTTATCAGCGCTGGTGCACCTTGATGCTCTGGAATTCAAGGGTGGGGAAAGGCATGAACAGAAGGAATGTGAATCTATGAAATGGCCTTATCTGTTAGGAGGGCAAAATAAAAAGGGTGGATAAAAGATTCCTAAGGTGTTGTTCCCTTTCTATGAACAAAACCAGGCAGTTTAGCAGGGGGAAATGGGGATGGAAGAAAGGCACAAGCAATCCCTACCAGTAACTCACTGGGAAAAGCAGACTGAGGTCAAAATAAGACTTAGCAGCTTTCTTACCCTCAACATGGGCCTGAATGGATCTGTCAACTGCAGAGGGAGAGAGGAAGAGAGAAAGAGAGAGAAAAAGAGGAAAAGTAAATGAAAATCTCATTGCTCAAACAACTGCTCACCCAACGATCATAGATGGGGCACTGCTTTCTTAGGAATGGGGAATTTTGAAGAGTTTAGCTCAAAAGAAAAATAATCATAAGCAGCCTTGGTGGCCCTTTGTCTTCATCCCAAAGGAATCTGGAGTTATTCCACCACTTGCCTTGAAAAATCATCTGCTCTGGAACAGTCTGAGCAGTTCAGTTAGCAACGATCCTGTCGTGCTAACGAAACCATTCATAGTGCAAATGTCTATAAAGGTAGGAACCAGTAAGACTGCTTTATTTTCCTTCTTCCTCCCCAAGTCCTTTCCATGCGAATCACGTGACCTGCCACCATCTTGAGAACCAGGACTGTAAACCATCGCATCCACCAGTATTCCTTTGCTCTGATCTTGAATATGAAGGATGCTTTACATGTTGATAAGCCAGCAAGACATACGAGAGCTGTCAGGTTAATTTATTCATTCAGCTTTGTCCGCTGTGCAAAACGTTGTACAAGCTGAAAAGACGTAATATTTTTACCAGATGGCTAGCGAGGGAGAGTAACGGAAGGAGGGCAGCATTTTGGAAATCGCCAGATTGTTCATGTGCAATTGTGAACAGAAGGGCAGGAGGAACTGACTACATATCTCACCACCACTTCAAACAAGCTTTGAGTCACTCAGTTATAAAAGAGGAGAAAGGTTATACAGATTCACCAGTTTAAAAGCCACACTGGAACAAATGTAGATAAAATATATTTACACAAAAATACATGGGATTCCCACCCCCCCAGGAAGAAAATCAATAATCTGTATATTTCATTTTCCTTTTTAGTTTTGGTTAGGTTTTCACTGGAAACTGAAATGGCAGCTCAATTTAGCAGTTAATTTGACTTCCTACATTACATGCATAAAGTTTTGAAATTAGATAAGGAAATAAAATTATATTCCTTTAAAGGAGATTATTTATTTCATGGCTGAATTAGGAAAGAAACAGGAGCTTTGTTTCATTCTTGTCAAGCTGATTTTATTGCATTCATTTCAGAATTTTAAGCATCCAGTAGTACTTAGGTTAACGAACGCCTCGGTTAACATAATTTTCGGTTTACAAACGGAAATCCATTGAAAATAATGCCTCGGTTTATGGGTTTTTTCACAGTATGAAACAAGTTTCCCCAGGATTCATTGTACCTGAAGGTTTATAGCGCGCCCCTCCCCCCCGTTTCCTATGGCAAACCATGTTTCGGTTTACGAATTTTTTGCATTACATAATGTCCCAGAGAATGCATTACATTCGTAAACCGAGGTACTACTGTACACTGCACTGAATTGATCTTGCTTCAACAGTCCAGGGGGGCCCATCTTTGAGGCCATCAAGCACTAGCTAATTTCTCCATTGGAAGATATATTCCTTACATTATAAAAACCAGCTGAAATCAAACTCTTTAAAAACACAGGTCTGTGCCTTCCACTTAAAGAACAGAGGAGCAGAGAGGAAGCTCCGAGTTAACTGGGAAGGCAGGATTTTGGAACAGTGCCCTATCTGAAAGTACTTGGGTGTCATTCTGGATTGAACCCTGACCTACAAAACATATAGTCTAAACAGCAAACAGAAAGTTGCTGCAAAAAATAACATACTTAGGAAACTGGCTGGGTTAGATAAGGGTACATGCCCACAAATAATAAAAACAATAGCGTTGCCCTGTATGCTAGTGCCACATGGTATAAATCAGCACATGTCAAAGAAGTGGATGTAGCTCTTAATGAAGCATGCAGAATTATTACTGGCTGTCTGAATCCTAACCCCCACTCAATGAGTCTGTGATTTGCCTGGCATTCCCCCTCCAGAGGTGCATCAAGATACTGTATAAAATAATGAATGGATGACAGAAAGTAATAAAGAACCAAACACATCCACTTCATGAACACCAGCCCCCTTAGAGGATGGCTAAAATCAAGGAAAGGTTTTCTGTACTCATCCCACGCTCTAAATATTAAACCAGAAGGAGAGCGATAGAGAAATAGAGATAGTCCATGAAAGGACTAAACAAGAGCGGGACAGCAAAATATTCCTCAAGGCAAGAAAAATGACAGTGGAAACTATGGGAGAAGATCCAGCACTGGATCAGCAAGAAGCCCAAGAGAGCTTCTTGGGAAAACTCGAGGACTGGGAACACTCGAGGACAGAATCCCTTATGACCAGATAGACTGCATCCCCATCGAGGAGGGCTCACTCCCCCATAGCTTAGCCATCTGTTTAGGCAATTCCAAGATAGGCTACCAGCTAGAGGATCCTGTCTTTAAGGCTTTTCACTGTTATAAAATATGTATGTTTTTTAAAAAGCAAGAACCAAACACATCCACTTCATGAACACCAGCCCCCTTAGAGGATGGCTAAAATCAAGGAAAGGTTTTCTGTACTCATCCCACGCTCTAAATATTAAACCAGAAGGAGAGCGATAGAGAAATAGAGATAGTCCATGAAAGGACTAAACAAGAGCGGGACAGCAAAATATTCCTCAAGGCAAGAAAAATGACAGTGGAAACTATGGGAGAAGATCCAGCACTGGATCAGCAAGAAGCCCAAGAGAGCTTCTTGGGAAAACTCGAGGACTGGGAACACTCGAGGACAGAATCCCTTATGACCAGATAGACTGCATCCCCATCGAGGAGGGCTCACTCCCCCATAGCTTAGCCATCTGTTTAGGCAATTCCAAGATAGGCTACCAACTAGAGGATCCTGTCTTTAAGGCTTTTAGGTTTTTCACCGTTATAAAATATGTATGTTTTTTAAAAAGCCCACATTTCAAACCAAAAATGGTCTTCTAAATGTTGTTATTATGTTGTATTATTTGTGTCATTGCCAGCTTCCGCCGCACTCAAGAGGGTTCTGTGGGCAGAAAATTCACCCCTGGGCCCGTCAAAGTGGCCTGCCCTTCTCAAGAAGACTTCGGTTGACATACAGACTCCAGACTTTGTTGGAACAGGGTTGTTCTTGAATTTCCAGCTGGTTGTCACTTGCATAAAATGTCTTGGGGGCAGGATAGCCAAGAAGTTTAGAATCCCGTAGGATGGAACGTATGCCTGCCGACTTGCAAACTCATAAGCATTTCACAAGTACTCATTCACGGCCACTGGAACAAGCGGCAAGGAGATAGGCTGAATGGGATCTCTCATTTAAAGACAATTTTGGAACTTACCCTGGGATCTTTCTGCAAAAGGGTATGCGGGACAGTTCCTGGTCTTGTGGCAACATCGATTGGATTAGATGTCTACAAATAGGACACACACAGGTCGGAGTGAACATGAGACACATACAGGCATCAGCAAACTAAAAGAAAAGTTCATTCTGCTTTGCAGTAGCTAGAGTTTTCTTTTAAAGAAAATAGATTTTAAAAAAAATAATTGATAGTGATGGTGATGATATATAGTCATTGGTCAAAACCCAACAGTATGGTTTGGCAGCTGACATCAGCAAGTTGGGACCTTAATCTCTTTCCCCTTTCACTTTAATATTCAGTGATACCAAAAGCTAGCCGTCTACATAGGCGAGAAGCTGAAGAATCTTGAGGCTGAAATGCTACCATTATTGACAAGAACATTTTAATAGAGGAATGGGGTAACCCTTTCTGCTTAAAGAACAGTAAAAAAATGGAGGACCATATGCCACTTAGGTGGAAAGTTAAGATTTTTGAGATTTAGCAAAATGTATGCATTTCTTTCTGCTTATATCTATAGTTACACCAAGTACAGAGTTAGCTTCTTTTTAACTCAGGTAAATTCTTCACGCTGTCAGTTTCGGGTGGGCTACATGTGGATGACCATCCCTCCCATTGTACTGTGTAAACAGATCTGGGATTAATGACAGGTGGTACATGTTGACCGTCATGTGCCTGAGAGGCAGTGAATCAAGGCTGGCGTGGACACCATAGGGCTACTCGTAGTAAACCTAGAAAAAGTTTAGGGCTGCAAAGGGAGCCGCAGAGAGGAGAGAGACTCACAGATTCTGACAAGCAGCAGGACCCAGTGGAAATACACCATTGCATCCTGGCCAGCACGACTATCATCATCACCACCACCACCACCACTTAGTCATATTTATATTCCACCTTTCTTCCAATCAATTTAAGGCAGTGTACCTAGCTCGCTGGCTCTTCACTTTATTCTCAACATGCCTACACAGGTAACTCAAGCTAATAGACCATTATTGGCCCAATGCCATTCAGCTGTTACTGAAACCACCTCTTTGACACCCACACCCATTGGAGTTTCAGATTACCTTAGGTTGAAATGCTCCTTGAAGTGAGCCAAAAGGACCGGTTGGAGGAATCATAGGAGGGATCCCTGATACGGCTGGAGGATAGGAGTGGAATAACTGCGGGAGAACGGAGAGAAACATTCGTCACGGTTCCCACCTGGCTGTCTAAATGCATGTCCTACCAATTTGAAGGGGGGAAAAAAGTACCATGAAAGAGAGGTGGAATTACGCAACTGTGTTAATTGTACAAGAGGTTGGATAGCTCAGTGGGTTAGGAAACAACCTGTAGAGCCAGAGGTTGGGGGGTTCGATTCCCCCCACTGTGCCTCCTGTAAGAAAGAGCCAGCCTGGGTAGCCTTGGGCAAGCTGCACAGTTCCAGGATGCTCTCCAGAAAAAAGGAATTGGAAACCACCTCTGAGTACTCTACAGATGCTCTACAAAACCCTAAAAACAGTTGCCTGTGTCAGAATCGACTTGACACAATTATTATTCCATGATTATTGATTATACAATTCATATAGTCACCGCCATTAATCCCTTGATGTCCCAATTGTTTAATCTCACCATGGATCACTCACAGTTGCAATGAATGGACAACAGAGAATAGACTAATTCGACAAAAACACAGTGATGACAATGAAGAACAGGTATATCCATAAAACGCAAGAGAACAAGATGGAGTGTGAGGGGAGAATTGTGTAGTCAAGAACAATGAGGACCAGTGTGGGGTAGCACATGGATGGTTTTAAAGAAGGTAGGGAAGTGTGTGGTGTTGGATTACAGTAACCATGAGAGCAATGGGGGAAATGGTACAGAATCAAGGTGTAATTGTCAATTACATTAGTTGCAGGGTTTCCAAAATTTTATGCAATGCCAACAGATCTACAAAGTTTCAATCTGGAGTCTTCCCATCACCCTAAAAACGCAAGGTTACTGAATGTGAGCAACATATATTGTCATTTCCTAGCTGTATGCATGATCTAAAAAGAAAAGACCATGCTTTTCTGTTTGCAGCAATTTTTTTGATCTTCCCATCACCCTAAAAACGCAAGGTAACTGAATGTGAGCAACATATAGTGTCACCGTCCCTCATATACATAAAGAGCAGCGAATGTTTACTTAGAAAGTTTAGAAGTGGTATGGCTTCTTCCCTGGCTTTCTAAACGTAAGGGGAAGACAGTTCCATTTGTAAGGGAGAGACAACAAATATTTTTGTGAGGTTTTTTAATTGAATAATTAACAATGATGTAAAGACCTTCCTTCAGGGAGAAGCTCAAGGAACGATTATGAAATTCAGGATTATAGCTTTTCCATTCTAAGCAATACAGTATATATCAGAATCAGTGCACAAGCAGTTCCAACACCTTCAGCATGATACATGAACTAGCGCATAATACCAAATGTGCCAAGAGATGTGTATCTAAAACTGTCCCTCAAAAATTAAGACACTCAATAAAGAGTTCTCTGATTTGGGAGCAACTCCAGCAAGTTGCCATGGCCATTGGCTCCAACAGGAAGGGCTGCAAGCAATATTGTCATTTCCTAGCTGTATGCATGATCATGCTTTTCTGTTTGCAGCAATTTTTTTGCATATGAAATCTTGGGGAGGATTCAACGAGCATTGTTGACAGCATTGCTCATGTTGGTTTATATTCATACAACCAGTTGAGTGTACCGTCAACCTCATCTCCACTGTACAAGCAAATCCAGATGTGGCTGACACATCCAGGCTCCTAAGCAGAAGTGAACGTGGTATTTTGTAGGATGCCTATTAAACATAGCAAATCCAGATGTGGCTGACACGTCCAGGCTCCTAAGCAGAATGTGGTATTTTGTAGGATGCCTATTAAACATCACCCGTTGTTTGCTGTGTACAGTTACAACTTGGTTTTTTGCTTGTTAATGTTTAAATAAACGTATTTCCTAGCCTCCTCTGACAGCAGAAACATAAGTTTGCTCTTGGTAGATTAACTGCTGTGCTTCCCCGATCTTCAAAATTACTTGCACAACTGTAAAGTGCTTTGCCTTGTGCTTAGCCGACATTGTATGCTTTCTTGGCATTAAAACACAAAACATTATTCAGGGTCATTTCAAGAGAAATGTGTTCTAGTCTGCCCAGTTTATCTTAGGGATGAATGACAGGAAATAGAATAGGTTTTCAGGAGACCCAATAGATCAAAATCATATTCTGGGGAAAAGAACTAAAAAAACGGCTCAATCAGCTGCTTCTGACATGAGAAAATCTCCATTTCTTCAGTGGACACCATGCATTCTATGTCAAAGCCCTGACAGGTTTATAATGGGCTAGAAATAGCAACGCCAACTCTTAAGTAGATGAAGGGTGTTTGTAGCATCTTAAAGATTAATAGGTTTTTTTTGGCATAAACTTTTGTGGATTGCAGACGTATCTGAAGAAATCTGCTACTACCCCAAAACATCATAACGGATAAAAACTTGTCAGCCTTTAAATCATCACAAGATTCTTCTTTTTGCTGAAACAGACCAACACGGCTATCCGTCTGGAAAGGTCAATTCTAAAGACACTCAACCACTAGGAATGGAATTTTCATAACTCTAGACCAACGTTTGCCAACCCAGGTTCTCCAGATTTTTTTGGATTACCACTCCCTCCCAAAACATCATAACGGATAAAAACTTGTCAGCCTTTAAATCATCACAAGATTCTTCTTTTTGCTGAAACAGACCAACACGGCTATCCATCTGGAAAGGTCAATTCTAAAGACACTCAACCACTAGGAATGGAATTTTCATAACTCTAGACCAACGTTTGCCAACCCAGGGTCTCCAGATTTTTTTGGATTACCACTCCCTGAAGTTTTGGCCAACACAGGTAGTGGTGAAGGCTTCTGGGAGTTTGAATCTAAGAACAAAGTTGGGAACCATTCTTCTAGACTTCCAATGCTAGAGTCCCCTAAAATCCCACAAAACAGACATCTGGGACTTCTTTCTGCTTCCATTCACTCCATGCAGCTCATACTCCAATAAGGAATTATTAAACTCTTGTAAAATTACCTCTCCCTGTAATTTCTGTAACATATTTCTAGTCTCCTTGCCTTCCGAAAAGGCAGGCCTCCACATACAAACGGAACAAGTAGAGAATTGACCAAATGCAAAGAAGAATGCCAAAAATCTATCTACTGCTTCAAATGTTGAAACAACGCAGCCACCATCCTAATTTGGAACAATTTGCACAATTTACAAATTTGTGAAATCCTTCCTCAAAAAATCCCAACCAAAAAGGCTTTTGGCAACCGACCTTACTTCCTCCTGAAAGGGCCTTTCACAGGGTGTATGGTCGATTCTCTTCCCCTGCGTAGTTTAAAACTGTGTTTTAACTTTTGCCTACTTCTACTTGGCCAGCTGCATTTGTTCTGTTCAATTGTTAGCTGCCTTGAATCCCACACTTATGAAGACGATGGGATATTAATCAATTTTTTTAAAATAAATCAATTCCCAACCTCCTGATCTCAGAGGAAAAGGATATTTTGTTTCTTAAAACAGGAGCAGACGCTGCATCTTCAACAAGCCGATAAAGCCGCAGCTAAGCAATTGACAATACAGAGGGTGGATGGACAGGAATGAATGAAAGACAAAACAGGGATGTTCTGATGCTTCTTGAGCAATCTTAGCCCATAAAAAAAAAAAAGAATGAAGTAATTTTTTAAAAAAAAATTAAAACTCACACTGTGACGGTAGAAAGGGTCAACTTTCGTAGGGTATTTGTCAAACTGCAAAAAGGATCAAAACAAAAGCTTATTATGTGGCTTCGGAGATCACATGCTTAGACCTGGCATATGGCTTGAGAAACCTATTTAAAATTCTAGCGATCAGTGGAAAAGGTAAATTCGAAGAGAGAGAGAGAGAGAGAGAGAAGAGCAGCATTTGAAAAGAAAAAGGAATCAGAACTGATTTAGGTAATAGTGTTTTCAGATATAAAATAAGTGCAACCTAGAATATATCTTGTCTCTTAATCTGAATGTTCAGGGTTTCAGTCAACATTCTTTCCTACCACCTTCAGCATTAGGGATGGGAGTTTGGGATTTCTTGGACTACGAATCTCACAGTTCCTCCATGTGGGTCATCTATCTTACCAACATCTTCTAGAAGCCCAAAGGTGTCATAGGTAAAGGTCCCCCCTGACATTTAGTCCAGTTGTGTCCGACTCTAGGGTGCGGTGCTCATCCCCGTTTCCAAGCCATAGAGCCAGTGTTTGTCCATAGACAGTTTCCATGGTCACGTGGCCAGCGCGACTAGACACGGACTGCTGTGACCATCCCACCGAGGTGGTACCTATTTATCGACTTGCATTTTTACATGCTTTCGAACAGCTAGGTTGGCAGGAGCTGGGACAAGCGACGGGAGCTCACTCCGTCATGTGGATTCGATCTTACAGCAGGTGGTCTTCTGACCTTGCAGCACAGAGGTTTCTGCGGTTTAACACACAGCACCACCTGTCCCTTATAAAGGTGGCTTACCTAGGGGCAAAAGAGCTTAACTCAGAAATCCCATCTCTACTTCGCATTCCACATAGTTACAGAGCAAGCTGGGGTCTTGATCTTCTATTCTCCACTCAGGAGGAAAGGAGACACAGAGCCCCCTCCGTTCTTGCAAACATTACTGTTGCCTTCCAAAGTTTATTTTGGTCTGAATTTTTGGTGTCTGGGTGTATGTGTGTGTGAGAGAGGTTTGCAGGAGCAATAAAATCCAGTTCTAGGACCAGTGTGCCCAGCATGTCCTTGAATGGTGAAAGGGATGCTTTTTGGGGTTACTGTGTTTTTAATCCAAAAATTCCCTTTTTTTCGGGACATGCAACTGCTTCATTCACTGTGCAGCTAGAGAGGTTGCTGGAGAGCTGCTCCATCTTCTAGTCAGCTTACACAGCAGTCTCCTCACAAGTTTTACTCGTGTGTTTTTTTCCCTATAGTGATGCAACTCAGTTTTGCCATTTAAAAAGTGGAAAGAAAGGAGGACATCAGGTATTCGCATCTGCTCTAACATGGAATAGTAGCAGGCAAGTAGGAACAATTCATCACTAAGGCTGAAACTTCACTGAGCAGAAAGTAATAAATTAACTAGACCCCCAGGTAAAGAAAACTGTTAAGAATGATAATGGCACTTTGTGTGTTAGCAAAATTAAAGGGGAAAATTGGGGCAAGGCAAGAATTCCCCCAATCCTTTAATTCTGCCGATATACTGAGACAGACTAACACAGAATATTATTCTGGAAACTGCTGCTTTTTGTGAACCTCCATACTTCAGATACAGCAACCTTAAAAAAAAAACTAATATTTTAGGTGTTTTATTTCTCCCCGGAGCTGTAAGATGGGGATTTTTATTTATTTATTTATTCATTTGGCTTTTGCCCCATCCATCTAGACTCTTTGTTTTAAGGGCTGTCGAAAGCAACCCCCTACTTAAAAATAACCTCTGGTTTAAGGGGTGTTTCATTTAGAAGCAAATGTTTTAATTAAATAAAGTCTTGCCCGTCAACAGGTGGCATTTTTGCAACAGACTGAGTAGACACAGACCAACAGGCCACTGTCTTCCGTAACAATGAGAGGTACTGAATTTCTATTTAAATTACAGTTTTTGCTTCCAAATCAGAATTTGCACATTGGATGAAAATCTTTGATGCAAATGGATGTCCTTTTTGCCTGATGCTTCCTCCATTTTTAAGGAGAATGATGAATAGGACAGTCACCCGAGATGCACAGGCACTTCCTTACCTCACCTAGACTCTATGCAATAGGGATGTGTGGTTTCTTTTTAATTTTTTTTTGTGGTGGAGGGAGATTCCAACTCACAAAGCCACACAAACACAGAGTTTTTGTTGGGAGTTCCAGCCCACAAAGCCACACAAACACAGAGACGCATACGTTTTGCTCACCTGACCAAGAGGGCCTAGCTCCAAGGTTGCACGGCCTAGCTCCAGCCTGGCTTCCTGTTGTGAACAAGCCAAAAAAAGGAAGTGGCCGCCCTCTATAGAGCCTAAAGGGGAGCAAGCCTACGACTTTCAGGAAGCACCACAGCAACTTTTTTATATATGCAGAACAGGAACGAAGGCTGGAACTAGGCCATGCAGTGTCAGAGTGAGCCCAGGTGAGCCAAAGGTACGTCTGTAGGTTGGAGCTCCTAGAAAGATGGACCACGAGTTCTTGGAGAATTGTGGGTGTGGGAGTCCAACCAAACAAAAACACTTCCATGAACTTACACAGCACGGTTCCAAATGGTTCCATTCAATGCTATATGTAGTTTGGTATGTGGGGTTCTCTACTAGAGAGAATTTGTGCACTCCCCTGACCTACAGCAAGGAATGCTAAAGGCCTCACTCAAACTACAGTTAAGGTAGTATCAAATAGATACAACTGTGTAAATGTCAAGGCAAAGCAAAAAACACAATGCCTTCTTTTCCAAATTCCTCCAACCCTTTTCCGACGTCCAGTCACCAGAATAAACTTTGCAACAAACGAGCGTGGCGCTCTACTTATCCTCACATTTCTGCCTGGGTTACGCACCATAGGAGGTGCCGGCGTTGGCATGATGGCAGTAGGCGGGATCGCGTGGGGGAAAGGGGTGAAGGTGTGCTGGTGCGTATGCTGATGGGTGTGCTGGTGCTGGTGCTGATGCTGGTGGAACTCTGTCCTCAGATAGGGCGGTGGGCCCAGCGAGGCACCCCGGTCAGCACTCTGGGAAGCCAGGAATCGGGTATTCAGCTCCTGGCGCAGAAGATCTTGCTCTGAAAACCAAGGTGACAACAATATAAGCCTGTGTGCCTCTAATTCATTCCCTGCTCAATCCTACCAATAGGCTGAGTCACATAACAAGTTATTGAGAATTCGGGCTACGTAACTGCATTCACAATTTTGCTCTATTTGCACAAAAGGAAGTCTACTTCCTGTCTTTTGTCAAAGTGTTACTCGGTGTGTAGTCCATAAAGTGAAGGACTAGCACTCAGATCTGGGTTTGATCTTGGCCACCGAAACCTGCTTGGTGTTGTTGTTGTTAAAACACTCCTTAAATATCTCACAGTCATAGGTTGGTTCAGGACTGACAGTACGCAACACACATGTAAGACAATGCAAAATCAAAGACATTCTCCCTATTAGGCAGAGGTCACAGCTCTTTTCTACTATCTGATATTCCTTTCTGAAAGCAAAAAAATGTCCTTTGGCTGCCAGAATCCTCTTCTACTGGTGAATCTCAGATATATTCCAAGAGACCAATCAGCTAGAAGTGCTATTTTGTGGGTTAAATCTTGTCAACCGAAGAGCCAAGAAAGGAGGAGAAGGAGAAAAGGTGGAGGAGACACATCAGGACAAAGAAGGAGCTGAATTATGCCAAATTCAAACATCTTCCAGTCCAGGGACACATATGCTCTTCAATAACTGCAATCCTATTTTGCACAAATTTCATGGTCTTTGCACTACATCATTTTGCTCAATTCACACAGAACGTGCAATTCATGTCTTTTGTCAAGAGCACTACAAAGTGTCTTGCCCTCTTGTGCAATGAGAACAAAAAAAAATTGGCTTGTCATCCTTGGATGTCAGGATAACACAAGCAAGAATGTCTTCTTTCCCAAGTGACAGCTTTCACTTGGCTCCTTCTGTCTAAAAAAAGATTAACGGTATGCAGATTTTTTTAAAAAAATCCCTCACTTTGCTTGCCTCATTTTTGGGCTCAGGAACAAGAAGCTGCTATTTCCCCCCCCCCCCCCCCTTGTCCGTGGTCTGAAGAATGAGTTCTTTGTGAACAACCCAAGAATAGTTTTTGCATAAATCACTCAAAAATACAACTGCTGCTGCTTTCCTTCACAGATTTGCAAGAAATCTAAATGAACTGTCTGAACAATTACCAAGGACTTCTCAGCCTGTGGGATATGTGCCAATGGAAAGGACACTAATTTTGCACAGAGACATTGTGCAAATTTCTGAAATGTCAACACGAAAAGCAACGCTTTGTCTCTTTCCTCACTGCAGGTGAGGAATCTTGCACTGATAATTCCTTGCTGCCTCATTTTATTTAGAGAGCCTATACTGATGAGAAAAAGAAATTTAGAATTATTGAGTCGGAAGAGGCCTATAAGACCATCGAGTCCAACCCCTTGCTCAATGCAAGAACCTAAGTCAAAGCAGATGTCACAGGCAGTTGCCCAATTTTCTCTTGAATGCCTCCAGCGTTGGAGGGTTCACCTCCTGCCAAGGTCTTTGGTTCCATTGTCGTACTGCTCTAACAGTTAAGAAATTTTTACTGATATTCAACCGAAATCTGGTTTCCTGCAGTTTGAGCCCATTATGACATGTCCTGCTCTCTGGCATGATCGAGAACAGATCCTGCCCTTCCTCTGTAGGACTACTTTTCAATGATAAACCACTTCTGAATCCTCACTACCTTGAAAACCCTGGAAAGGGTCATCATAAGTGGGAATCAACTTGATGGCACATTATTATTATCTGTTTTGATACTTACCTGAGTAGGCACTCCCAGTAGGATGACCTGGAACCTGTAGCGTTCCTGATGTCAGCGGAGGAGGAGGGGGCAAGGCCGTGGGAGGGGCAAACATATTGGGGTGATGCGAGTGTGCAGCAGGTTGGAGGTTGGGTGTAAAGGTATGAAGTGGGTTAGAGCTGGGTAAAGAGATGGAGAACGGTGATGCTGGGGGATGGCGGGGTATGTGGGGAGGTGGAGGGGCCTGAGTCTTGGCGGGGGTGCTGCTTCTGCTGCTGCTGTTCAGGAAAACAAAAGAGGGAGAGAACACGCATTAAGCATCACAGACATGGCACACCAAATACCGTATTCTTCTGTGTATAAGACGCCCCCATGTATAAGATGCCCCCAGTTTTCTATCCCAAAAGTAAGAAATCTAAGTGGGACTTAGCAAGTGTAAGGGGAAAGGGATCAAAGCCCTGCAGGATCACTTTGATCCCTGCTTTCCCCTCCACTTGTTTTTGTTCTCTCCTCAGCTTACTTCCGTTTATAAGACAACCTTCAATTTTTATTCTAAAGATTTTAGACAAAAATATAGTCTTATAAACGGAAGAATATGGTATTTCTTCACTGAATAACTGGGGGGGGGGAGTGTGGCCTCTGAGGCCACAGACCATGCTCCACCAACTGGCTAATTTATGGGGGAGGGAATCATTTTTGGCTGCACCATTTTGTTTGCTGATCTCCCGTTTACACCTTCCAGGAAACCAAATGGTTTCTAACCTGTTTGTGATTTCTTGTCTAAAAATAAAATTAGAAAACTGAAGCTTTTTTGAAACTCTTTGGGGAAAAAAAAAGATTTGGAAGACACAGAGTCCCTACATGGAAGTGAACAAGCAGATACTTAAGGCATCTCATGGCCACAAAATGAGGCAGAATGGGGCTGTTTCTCCTGACCCCAAAGTCGCAGACTTTTGAGTGAGCAGCAAAAGAGGGATCTGAGTTATTTTGCATGTTAATTCTTCCTTGTGCATGAACAAACCCCTTTTCTGTGTTGGGTATTCCAGAGTTCCAGCCCTATGGAAGAATACTACATTCTCAATACAAGTTATGTTTAGTTGATCTCCAGTTCAAGTCCCTCCCCCCCAGCACACATTTAAACTTAAATCTAATTATTAATCCCAAGTACACCTGGCAGGAGCTAATAGACACATATGTCCAAGCCTTGACATCTATTAGGGCCTTCTGTATCTCATGAGGGGGAGAAACAATTTTCAGGGAACAGAGTCTTCTCTGCTGTGGCAACGTTCTTCCTGTGCAGACATGATCAGCGCCATTTTTTCCTCACTTTAGTGTTACCTTAGCTCCTCACTGAAGCTTATAGAGACTGTGGCTTGATCTAATAGTGGAATTCTGCTACCGCGCACATGGTTTTACATTGTGTTAAGGCTTAATTTTTTTTTAAAGAACTGTATACAGTGATGCCTCACAAGATGAATGCCCCACGCAAGGAAAAACTCGCAAGACGAAAGCATTTTGCAATTTTTTTGATGACTCGCAAGATGAATTTTTTCTATGGCTGCGCTTGGCAAGACAATTCCACCACCACCCTTTTTTGGTTTGTTTTAAATTGCACAACATTTTTCTATGGCCGTGCTTGGCAAGACAATCCCCCCCCTTTTCTGGTTTGTTTTAAATCACACAATGGTTAGTACTGCGCTTGGCAAGATGAAATTTTCGCAATACGACATGACTTGTGGAATGAATTAATTTCATCTTGCGAGGCATCACTGTATTGCTTTTTAATCTGTATATGGAGATTTTCCAATATAAAGTGAGATATAACTGAATTCTAAATAAAATAAAGACACCAGGGTAGACCTATTGAATCACTGCGATTTATGCCAAGTGCTGACTTTCATCTCAATAGCTGAATCACTAAATCGATTCCCATATAGGACCAGTTTGGAGACATAGGTCCCTTTTTTTTTTCCTTGAAAGGTCAACACCTCTTTACAACACACCCAATGCTTGAAAAACACACAACGAGAGCCTCACCTCAAGCTGTTGAGGCTTAAACTGCTGCTATTGTACGCTGATAATTGTTGTGCAAGGCTATGAGAGGGCGGGTGCAGATGAGCACCTGGTGGGGTTTGGCGCACAGGCTCTCCGGGAGAAGGCAAGTGTGCTGGGTGCTGTCTTTGAGGAGGAGCTCCAGGGATCTGGGCGGCCACTTCAGAGTTCTCTGATTTCTGTGGGGCTTCGGGGTGTGAGGAACGAGAAGGTTCTGTGGTGCTCTGAATTGCCGGTGGCTTTGGAGAAGGTGCCTCTGTTGGTGGCTCCGAATGGGGTTGTATGAAAGGCTGAGAAACCTGAGGACAAAGGTTTTGAGGCACAACAGGGTCAAATAATGGACCTTGACTGCCGTCTGGGTTTAAGTCCTGGCTCTTCTCTTGACTCCGTTCTAGACCAGATATTTTGGGGACAGTCAATGGCCTGGCATCCTGGTCTTCATTTTCTGTCAGTGTACCAACCCCTAAGTCTGTATCTGGAAACAAGCAAAGCAGACACAAAAAAAAAAGATGATGGCTTACGTATCAAATATCCAAATAAAAATGAAGATAAGCCCCAAACACACGGTTAATACAACTGACTTGGCCAACTCTTAACGTCATGACAGTTTACCTGAGAGTATCTAGTCTTGTTCCTGTAGTTCATAATAAACCACTTTTGTGACAGACATAAAAGAGTGTTTTGGTGAGAAAATGCAGGGTATACAAACAGACGGTCGGAAAGCTGAGCGGCAGAAGGACCTCAGGAAGATAAGCTCAGTAACCGAGAGCTAGGAGAGACAACGGCTAGAGGAGGTGGGCGCTGTGGCTCCTGAGATCACTTTGGACTGCAGTTCCTATCATCCCTCATCCTGGCTAGGAATGATGGGAGGTGCAACCCAACATCTCAAGTGCACAAATGCCCCAAACCTCAGTAAGAAGAAGGTTAAGCAAAAGACTGAAAAAGGAAGAGAAAGGAAGGTGAGGAAAGAGGGGTGACCACCAGAGGCAGAAGAAGCTTAGAAAGGCGAATTCGCTGAAAGAGACGCTTACACCTGTGGGAAAACCTAATAGGCTATAAGGATAGGACAGGCTATACGTTAAATTATAGAGAGGAGAGCTAGAGGAAGTCAAGGACGCACGCACGAAAAAGGAGAGAGGGTGTCTGTGAGGAAACAGAGTGTGGCAGAGAGGGCTCTCTAAAGTGGAGAGTATCTGAAAGGAAGGGCCTCCAAAGAGTGTCATTCTCTTGTAGGACCCAAGGTCATGAGATGCTACGAAGGAGGAGGAGGAAATGGGCAGGAGGGGGGAAATCTGTGGACGTCTGGGAACTACCAGTGAGAGCAGGAAACAAGAGAAAGGAAAACCTTTGTGCCTGCAGGGGACAACAAAGAAAAATCACCTGCGCAGGGCTTTTCACCACAATAATAACATGACACAAAAGACAAATGCATGTGAAAGTTGGCAAGCATCCAAGCAAAAGCAGAGTCCTGCTGGGTTAAGCCCAAAGGCGTCTCTGGTTCAGCATCCTGTTCTTACAATGGCCCACTCCATGCCCAGATGGGAAGCCCAGAAGCAACCAACATGGGGGTGCAACAACACAATGACATCCCAGCAATAAAGGTATAGGTACCAATGAAGGTACTTTTATTGAATTTATACCCTGCCCCTCTAGACAAAGTCTACTCTCCAGTACTCAGGCTCATACCCACTGCTCCATTGGAGGCAATACATGGTTGATACAACTCACAGGGCAGAATACTCGAAGCACAGGAAAATGAGGTAGCAATGCTACTGTAGGACAGTATCAAGGGTTACCACATCGCCTTATACAGCAATGTTGTATCTGATGAAAGGGGAAGGAAGCAAAGAAATCTAAATAAACTGATGTTTGAGCTTCCCGAAAACAATGACTCAGGTTCGTTTAACAACAGAAGAGGCATTAGAATATTTGGACTTCGGAAAGTAATGTCTGAAATTCCATACATAGCAGTCCAGGCTACCTCCCCTCTTTCTCGCCCTTAAAAACAGCAAAACAAAAAAAGCAATCAGACTTAACTTTTTTCGTTCCAGTTGGAACCCCTATATTTCTTATGTCTCTGATCAGTCTGATGGTCTCTCCGATACGTGCCACCTGCCTCCCCACGTTCTCATCACTATTAAAGCCTTCCTTCTATATAAGGTAAGCCGGCAAGCATCTTGAAACAGAAATCCACATACTGTAACCTAATGAGCCAAACGAATTCAGGTAGACAACCCTAGAGATCACCAGAAAACTAACCTCCAACACTAGTAGTAGACCAATGCTTTGCTTCAAAGGGAAGCTCCAGAAAACAGAAACCTCAACAAAGGTTGCGGGAGAATGGCTTTTCTGGGGCAGCATTCTGCATCAACGTTAGAAGGTTTGGCTTAACGATCAAAAACTGTACAAAGAGAAAGTAGGTGGCCTTGAAATAGCCCATCAGCTGAGCAATAAACTATACAGGTTTGGACACCTGGAAAAAATACATGTCATTTCCTGCTGTAGTGAGCTATACAGGGTACGTCTATTGGATTCATCCATAAATTGGCATAAGGAAATTATCCACTATTCCACGCCTTCTTTTGTCCTGTTCTGAGGTGATGTACAGAAAACTAACATTCAACACACTTAAAACACATTCAAGAACAATGACTCATCATTCATGATCGATTCAATTTTGCTAACATAAGTCAGGCCTTGAAAATCTTCCTTTTTTGGACGGCATCTCTGAGGATCCCCTGTTGAGCTTGGCCAGAAGACATGTCTTCAAACGGCGGCAACCCGTTAACGGTAGACAAGGCTTCCATGATTAGGCACAGTCTTCTATCACACCGCTTCTCCCTGCTGTTCTTTTTAAAGTTCTTTTTTAAAAAAAGTGAAATCAATTTTGGAAAAGCATCCTCGTTATGTTCCTGTCAGTTGAAACGAGCAGATAATGCCTGGGCTCACAACTCTTCTCGGTTGCCAAACTCCATAAAGACAAAGGGAAGGAAAGCACTATGTTTGTTTTAGTCAAATTAGCTTTATAAATGTGGAGGTGGAGAGATGACAAGAGGCTGACAGGCCTCACAGATCTTCCACTTTACGCCTGTCATTTTGGGTAAACGCTTGTTACCATCATAGAAGGCTGTAACAACCTCAGCTGGAGATCAGTTCCATTTTATAGGCCTCGGTGGGACAGGAAGCCTCTTATTACAGAAGATCTTCATAAGGGGGGAGCAGAGCTCGCAGCTTCAAACATTCCTTCACAACAAATTGAATCTTATTAAAAAACAGCTGAATTGGCTCCGACACAAGTCCCCAAGTAACGGAGGAAAAGTGCATGTCTAAAAGTAATCACAACATCCTCTTATATTGGCACCACGGTGAATCTAGGCTCATATCTTTTCTTCCAGCTCCAATGGAAAAGGCAAAAAAACAAAACAAAAAACAAAAAACAGTATCTTTTCTTCCAGCTCCACAGGAAAAGGCAAAAAAAAAAAACACAAACAAACAAAAAACATAACATAGTCCTGAAAGTAGCAAAACCAGGGAGCTGGATAGGGGACAGATTGTATTTTTGTCTTCAGTGTGGAAGGGACGGTCCCTCTCGAATTGTCCTTCTCAGCCACACTAGACGCTGTTCCAAGTCCTCCATACAGAGCACGTCACCATAGTCTTTCGAGACTGAAGGATGCCTAACTCTAAAACTACTTACACCCCTTTCTTGAGTTCTTTTATTTTTCCCCCCTTAGAACCGTGTTCTGGCAGTATTTGTTAGTGATTAAAAAGAATTTCACCAGATTAGAGACTCTTTCAGCAATAGCCTGGCTGTGTATCTAGGGTCTTGGTGTAAAAAGAAACTTACCTAAACTCAAGAATTGGCACATGAATGCAGCTTATGGTGTATTTTGGAGAAGTAAAGCATACAGCATATTTGTAAATGAAGGCCACATTTTGTTTTCTGATGAATGATTATAAACAAACAAACAAACAAAACGAAACACCAAACATCTAAACCCACGCTAATTTGCAACATGTGGTGTGCATCAAGCTCATGATACAATAATTAGACATCTTTCAGATCTGAGTCCAACAGGACTCATAATTGCACTGGCTCACTATGGCCACTATCTCTGAAACTCGTATAAAAACACGGACAAGAAGAATATGCAGGTGAGATTGGAGATACACAGAGACAGACTGAAAGAAAGCAGCCGAGATGTTTTCATAGAACTAACGTCCGCTCAAGGACAGGTGGATTGTTGTGAAGGAATGCCGAATCTCTGTATAAAAGCAGGTCTAAAGGCCAAGAAAAATTCAGTTTGGTCCCATTTGCCACCCTTTGGTTGTCCAATGGGATAGCCTGCTTGCCCTTTCATGCAATTGGAAAATGTATAAGGCAAGCATGCAAAAAGCAAAAGTCTGATACTGTTCACCTTATGGCCACCGGGAGCCAAGTCCAAGCTTGCAAGATGGGTTTGGTCTTCTTTGTTTGCTCATTTGTTTCCACTCCACGCAAAGATCTACCTGTCCGTTCCAGGTGCAAACGGCATATAACGAGAAACAGAAAACTCTTGTTTCTTTCAAGTACTAGAACTGAACAGAATACAAGAGTTTCCCCATTGCAGGTTGGCATATACATATGCTTACAGAGGCATAGATTTCAGGATTTAGAATTAAGACTAGGAACAAAGAGTTTGATTAGCTCAGTGGCTTGGGTCTCTGGATGCTGGGAGTTCGATTCCCCACAGGGCCTCCTTGAGAGGGGATGGACTGGATGATCTAGAGGGTCCCTTCCAACTCCGCAGTTCAAAGGTGGATAAAAGTGGGGATGGTTTTATCACAAAATGGTCTATTACATATGTTTGATTGTTACGTGCTGTCAGGTTGTCTCTGACTTATAGCAACCCTAAATAGTTTTCAAGACATATGAGATATTTAAGGAGTGGTTTTTATCAACTCTACCTACATCTCAGTGAGTTGCCATGGTCACATGACTCTCACTCCATCACTCAGGTGGATACCACACTGACCCTCAGTTTATTTGTTGACATACCGTAAAAATTACCCTATCAGCAAATCTGTCCACTCTGCACCTTATCCTGATCGGAAGCAACTGAATTCCATGCTCCACTTTCATCAGAGACAGAATAAAGACAGAGAGACTTCCAGAAATGTACTGTTTTTTTCCTACTACGCTGGATTTATTATAAACTAGATTAAATTATCTTGGATCATCCAGGATAACTGCAACAACAACTTTATTGTTTATGACTAAAGGCCTTTACAATAGACAATGTAAAATTTCCAATTTAAACAGGTAATCATAATAGCTCACTGAGATGCTTATCAACAGCCTGGCCATAACATCCTTTAAAACAAATATCCAGACTCGCTGACCGTAACTGATAGCAATCAGAGCATTGCTTTCTGGTTGCCAGTGCAAGTTCTACCAAGCATACATGATAAATAACGGATTAACCATGAGCAATC